GTTCATGGGGTCACGAAGAGTCGGACACGACTTAACGACTAAACAACAACAACAACATGCCCAGTTTGGATAGATCTGATTATGTAGGAATGAGGAGAGGGGAGCCTGAACTCCAGACTCCAAACAGAAGGTTCTGGCACTGTCAAATTAATGATTTTATAGAAATGTTCCATCTTCTTCACCACTGGATACAGAATCTTTTTATCCTGCAGAGGATGATGATAAAGTGCAATCAGAATCTGATTCAGCAAGAGGATCCCCACACAGATTTCTCTTGCAGGAATGGGGTAAACATGCTTTGCTTTTATATTAGTAGTGAATATTTTAAAATGTGGCTAAACTACACCCATAAATTCACAAACAGCCTTAATGAATTTAAATATTATTTAGTATCAGGATTTTGGAAGCCTGATTTATGATTTTAGAAACTTTTTACTTATTCTTTCTATAGTTTATGTACAGTAATTCCTTTGGCTGACATTTTCACATTTTTTTTCCTTTAGCGATAACAGGTTATTACCAAGGAGCATGCACACAGAGAAATTCCTCAAATGATTTGGCCACAATATAACTAAACTAGCCACAGGTAAACACTGGATAAAGAAGACTGCTGTTTGAATTATATAACTCTGTATCCATGACAAAGACCATGCCTTGAAAGGCAAATCCATTTTTCCCAAACATATTTATAATCATACAAATAACAGGAAAAAAGCTTTTGCAATGGAGTTAATACCTGATATGGCAATTGTTTTCAGCAAAAAGAGGACAGAAAATAGAAAAAACATCAGATTTATATACTAGCATACCATTAAGGTATGTGCAATATTAATGTGGGAAAAAGAAACTTTTCTAGCATTATCTCATAAAATATATGATGAACAAAGTACAAAAATGTCTCATAGAAGTACAAAATTTCTGGATGTAATTAAGTGTGACATCAAAGATCTGAAATCACATGCTAGATTGATATGTTTTAGATCAGAAGTTCAAAGTTGGGAGAGAGTATTTAATTCTTCTCCTCTTCTTCAGTGGAAATCCTCAGTTCCCCCCAATCTCTGCTCCTGTATTTTGTCCTCCACTTGGCTATTACAATTAGGATGGCAAATAGGAAAGAGAAACCCAGTTTCAGTGGGAGGAATGATAAAAATGGGGAAATTGGCCTTCTCCCAGCAACTCAGCACTGATTCAGATCACTGCCCCACCCATCTGCACCTAGCCCTTAAAAACATGACAATGGGAGGTCTCCCACTTTATGGGCAATTTGTCCCCATAACCCAGGAGAAGCGTAGATGGAAATGCTGAAGCCCAGTTTTCTGGTACTGCATGGAAGGTACTCCTATCTTCCTCACACAAGCATCAAACATAGTGAAAGTTACTGGAAATGGCATTATTTGCTAGCATTAGTGGAGAATATCTATTCTAAGTCTTTGTATATCTGTGTTTTAAAACTTTGTATATCTGTGTTTTAAAAAACAGATATTTGTATATCTGCGTTTTAAAACTTTCTACAGAGAATTCTATACATGAAATATAAACATTAATTAAATTATAAAGCATAATTGAATATCCAGTAGAATAAATTCTCTTCAAGTGAGCACTGCTAAGAAATCACCAACACATCTCTTTAAGCTAACAGTTAATACTGGATGCTGAAAAGAAACTCAAATTGTACTATTATCACCAGCAGCTGATATCACAGCATATCACCAAAAAAAAAGAAAAAATCCCTTTTCACCCTCCATCCTGTGACATTCTGTGCTTAGATTTCAAAGCACTGCAAGACAAGCTTTTTATTCTAGAAATCTGCTTTTGTGAGAGATTTATTGTTGTTGACAATTTTTAGAATTCCTACAAGAGAGTTTTAAAAACTTAAAATTCCAACAATTCATTAAAAAATATACCAAGCAGTAGAGTAATTCATTCTCTTTTAGAAGTTGTTTTGCAATAGAAAAGGTCAAATTAAAGAGCAATTGCTCTCATTTTAACTAACATCTTGCAACACCTTATATTAGCTGCAGCTGTGAAGTTGGGTTCTTTCTGGTAATGTTTTATTTCTTCAGCAAGTAGTTTCAGAGCTGTGCTGACCAACAGAAGATGATCTATAGTAGACTGAATGGTTGGAATGATACACAAGGTTGTGGTCTGCCCTTCCTCAGCCTTCTGTATAAACTGAAGAAAGTTGACTAGGGCACCGATCGACAGCATTTATATGGAGGAAACTTGGGTCCTCAATCCCATTGCACAATGAATCACCAAAGGCTGATGGAAAATCATAAACTGGAGAAAAATGAAGACATTTAGAACATCAGTCAGACTTGAAGAATTTGGAGTGATTTTACACAGAAAAAAATGCAGCTTAGCATGTATTACATGCAAATGTGGGATTCCTTAGGCATATTTGGAGATATAATGTGTGTTAGGAGAGGAAAGGGGCGTTAAAAGAGGAAACACTATGTCAGAACTGAGAACGCTGAAGGAGGAAAAATGTTTTGTCGGCAGTTTGGAACAGCGATGGGATAGTCAGGGAATGGATTAAGCATTCTGTTCCTGTTTCTCTGCTCTAAGCTTCAACTTGAAACTATTCCCCATCCATACATCAGCCATCAAGCTATTATTATAGTTTGGAACTGATGTTTAGTTTTTTCTAAACCTGCTGCTTCTCTGTTTAACAAATTTGAAATCTATTGTCAAATGTTATAATTTCCTGATATTTCCCTCTGAGCCTGTGAAAGTCTTGACAATACTAGTAAATGTTGTTATTAAAGTTAATACATATATGTTTAATCACTAATAGATCGAACCATGAAGAGATCATTACAAGTGACAGTGATAGCGAGTGACTCTAGAATGGCTATGATTTCAGAATACTCTGCCCTGAACTTATTGTGTGGTCTTAAGAAAGCTACTCTCTGTCACCCTCAATTCATGCATCCATAGTAGTAAGGATAAAACCAAATTATCTTACAGAGGTAAGATGTAAGAATAAACATTAGAAGTAAAGTATTAAATGTAAATACAGAATCAATGTATTTAGTTATTAATAGCATTTATCAAGTAACTTTTTCTATTGGTTCCCATAGATTTCCCTTCTACTTGATGTTTGAGTGATAGTGACTGTGTCAATTCATAAACATTATATATTTGGGACCAATCTTAAAATATGGAGGCTGAGTTCAAAAAAAGTGGTCTGTCTTTAGTCTGTTGGATGCCTTGTTAAAAAACAGAAAAGAGGGTACTGGCTGTTGTAATGTGATGAAAGTGCAAATAGAAATTCTTATCTAATTTCTTTTTTTTAACATAATGTTTACAGTTAACAGAAGAACCTGGTTTAAAGCCTGTAAGGCTGCAAGCATCTTGAGGGCCATTTTGCAAGTCATAAAGTTCCATAGTTGATACATAGTTATCATATGAAATAATATAATTTTCAGTATAGACTCTGATCTCTTTAGTGCATGGAATTATTTTCGAGATGTAAGTGATAATATATGAATATGGAAATAAAGCAATATTCTACAAGATAAAGTAATGTGTGAAATGATTTTGTTCTCAGCTAAGATTGAATCATGCCTCTGGTGATGAGGGTTCTGCAGCTGGGTATATCTTGTTACGACCTGAGTTTCAAATTGGAAAAGACAAAACGAAACATAGTTTGAACACACGTCTCTAGGAAATGCTTATGAAACCACTAATGTTTAAGAGAAGATGTATTTGTTTTAAATAATAGAATCACAATACATTGTTTTACCTGTAATACCAGAATGTGCTGAAAATGTTTTATGGAAAACATCAAAACCTGCCTGACCCATAGATGTGGGTACAAGACAGTCTTCAAAAGGAGGGACCATATTACAAGTTCCAATGTGCTGTATATTTCTCTGATTGTCAGTATAATGAGGGGAACAGAAAGTTTGTAGTTGTCCATAAACACCTAAAAAAGAAGGCAACAGAGATGGTTAAATCATATACTTCCATTTAAACCAATTTATTCATTTGAGTTTAGATTTTCTAGTAAACTGTTTCTACTACTTTTCAATCTTTGCTAAAATTGCTATGTGCCATCATAACAATTATCCTATTTTCATGAGAATTCTCCATAAAAATAAATCATATTCATTTTACAACTTGTTTAATCTTAGAAACTTAATCTTTTCCTTATTATCATTTGGCTAGTGATAAAAAATGGCATACTATATGGAAAGCACTAGAGACACACTGAAATAAAGCTAAGAATGACAAGCAAACCTGAAAAGCAAATCATGTTACCTAGTCCCGGGCATTTCTATTGCAATCATAAATCCCTTAAATTTTCTGGTGTGGCAAAAGTGATCCAGTGAAGCTAAAGAGTGGGGTATTTAGGAGACATGAAGTATTTCTTTACCTAATACCTGGTTGATCTACGAAATGTGCTGTTGCAAGATGCAGGTATGGCCTTCAACACAGATATCTTATAAGTAGATTGGACAAGCACATCTACAATTACTACTAATGGCTCTGTATTTCCTCCATTACTAAAGGCAGTACACTTTTGGTATACATTGACTATAGAACATCCAGAGAAGGTACCATTGAGTTTGTCTCATTCTTTTGGGCTCCCCATTAAAATTTGACCCCTGTGAGAAAGAATGCTAAAGCTGCTTTCGCGGATTCAGCACAGCTTATTTTATGTTCTTCTAATTCCAACACTTATGTGAAATAAAATAATACTAATTGATTGTGTTGCAGTCAATTATCCAAACTGACAGAAAAAGACAAATTAGCACAAGGTTATACTTTGGTGATAATACTGAATACTGAAAATACCGCTGAGCAAAAAGAATATATGTAGTGTTATTCTTAATAACTGTTCTTAAGAACATGAATAAAATACAACTTTAGGGTGTGCGTGTGTGTGTATTAAAATCCTAAAAATATGACTATAATATTTATAAACTTAAATATACTTGGAAAATAGCAGTTCAGAAATAATGGCTAAATAACTATTATTACACATTCATAATTTACATTAATGTTTGGGGGGCTGAAGGCATTAATTGCTTATTTTAAAAAAAAAACTTTGTAAATAACTTTGTAAATAAGTTTTACTGCTAGATCATTTGGGATTCAAATAGAATATTGTGAAAAGGACTAATTAGGGGATAAGTGTAACCCATTCTCAGCTTAGCTTTCCTGAGCATGGTCAGCTGTCTTCAGGCACCACTGTGACTCAACTGTAGTTGACAGCCACAGTGTGGCTACTATTGGTTGGGACAGTATAGTAAACTCTCAGTTTAATAGACTTTTGTTTAGTGGACTTTGGATATCATGGAAAAAAAATCTGGATATGATCATTGCTTGGAAAAGGAGAAGAGTTATGGACTTGATTTCCCAAGCCAGCCCCTTCCTCTAAAAGCCACCTTGCGCACTGGCTGGCCTCCTTTTTCATGCCTGCCTGATAATAGACAGATTTTATTATCTTGATATCTTCCCTCAAATAATCTATTGCTTGGAAATGTCAATAAACAACAAAGTCTAGCCAGAGAAGAGGTTAAAGTGAATGAAAGTGAATGATAGCATGAAGGGTCAGAATGTAGCAACTAGTTAAGATAAGCATCAAATAAGAATAGTGTATGAGCTAAGGCCTATTCTGTTATGTCACAGCAATCTTCTGAGGATAACATAATTTCTGCATCTTTTGGAATTAATGACCCTCTAATACTGAATTAAACTTCCAGCGGGTTCCCATTTGCTTTTTTAAAATGGGAAGATACCTTTAAAAGTCACCTCTTGATAATGCTTATTCCACATATCCCGACTAAGAAATCAATGTTTTCTTCTATTGTATTTCCCTTATTTAATGAACTGACATCATTACTGGTAAGATAGAAGTTAATTAATTATGTACCATTAATTATTTACCCACTTTACAAGGCAAATCCCAGCTGCAAGCATAAGTGATGCTACAAATAAACTCTATGTCACAAAAGTCAAAACCTTTTATTTAAAGAAACCTTTAAATTTATAGGTGAAAAAATAGGCTTCCTTTTTTCCAAGTGCTACACCCAAAGATCAATGATTTTCAGATTGAAAAGAAACATAAATGTATTGTGTGTGTGTGTATGTATGTGTGTGAGAGAAAGTATCATACAGTCAGGTAATGCAATACTAGCTGAGTGCAAAAAGTGTATCTGGTTCCTATTTATATAATGGAGATGTATATAATCTCTTCTATGAATATTCATTCTCCAACATTACTTGGAGACTGCATATTGATGGACAGTGCTTTAAAGTTTTTATCTGCTGACCATTCATGTATATTTTCAGTATCTATATTTGAAAGAACACATCAATATTCTAATCAACTTATACTGCCTCTCATATGACATTACTGGATCTAGTGGGCTCATGATACAATTCCTTCTGTACAAAAATTTCATTTAATCTTTAAGGATGTTGTTAAGAGGAAGAATTGTGGGGCAGGAATGAACTTGCTTTGTTCTTTTGTCAGTAACAAAATAGTCAAGGTTTGAATGAACTCAGGCAGAGTAACAGCGAGCAATTTTATTTAAGCTTATTACTAAGCTATCTTCTACTACAGAGCACACCTTGGGTACTTTGTACTGAAAAGTCTTGCACAGATAAACGAACAAACAAAAATATTTAAAAATAGCCTGGAACAATCAGTAGTCAAGTTTCTGTTTACCAGGCTGCATTGTAAATTTTAGGTACATCTTGATCCAAGAAGAATGTGCATGTAAAGTGTCCTTTCAACACACTTACGCTTTACAAAAAGATTGTACAAGCAAATATCATCCCTAGCAAGCCAGAGAAAATCCTTACATAAATGCCATCACGTGCCATGCTGTATCAAGCGAGTAAGACCTAGGGTGAGAAACAGAGATTATTCCAGTTGGGAAATAGTTGGCCTTTGGTGCAACGGAACAGAAGGGAAGCAGCAAAGAAGAGCTCTGCTGACCTTTGCAAATGCTGCTCCCTTCTCTTGACTCCCACAATTGTGAACATGACCTCATTACTAGAGCTGCAATATCTCCTGAACTGTCCCACTTTGGGTTCTGAAAAAAACAGCTCCATCTAGAGAAGGGGGAATACAAACCAATTGATTTGGTTTGTATTTTACTGCATGCTTATCTAAGTCATGCTTCCCAATCTAAAGACAAGCCAAAATGCAATAGATCGTTCTACACTTCCTGATTATTGCAACACAGTTTGCAATTCAAGATGTATAAAACTGTGTAAGTAAAAACAGTGTGCAGAAAAGCATATTGTACAAAGAATATCTGCTAGTAAATATAGATCTATTAATGAAAGTGTACAACAGTGTGTGCATCAGAGATGTGTATGAAAATGTAAAAAAAAAATAATTACAAACGAAGGTAGAAATAGGATGGTTAACTTAAGACCCAGAAATTGGGAATCTCAGCAAAATTAAACTTTTTTTTTTTATTTAATTCAATTTAGGTGCCACTTGACTCCAAAATGACTTGTGGCAGCTCACAATATAATAAACCATAAAAACACAATACATCCAGAAGCACACTCACAACCAGTGCAGCTCCCGAAGGAGGGCTCTCTCATGGGCACACCGAGGCATACCATGACTGCCCACGCTGCCGTGTTCTGGACCAAGTGAAGTTTCTGAATGGTTTTCATGGACAACTCCATGTGGACCACGTTGCAGCAGTTGAGCCTTGAGGTGACTAGGGCATGAGTGACTGTCTGAAGGGCCTTCTGATCCAGGAAGGGGTGCATCAGGCGCACCAGATGGAGCTGTGCAAAGGCCCCTTTGGCCACAACTACTACCTGCTCTTTCAGCAGGAGTTGTGAGTCCAAGAGGACCCCCAGATTGCACACCATTCTTGAATAGGGAAGTGCCATACCCAAGAGTATAGATGGAAAATCCTCAGGTCCAGGAGGCCCTAACTTCCACAGGTAGGATCGAGTCAGAGTTGGTTCATCCTCATCTAGGCCCACACAGCCTTCAGGCACTGGGACAAGACCTCAACAGCTTTATTTGGCAGGGGTTGAAAGATATAATTATCTTTGCAAAGCCTCCTTACTACAGAGGATAAAGAATATCTTTGAGGCCCTAATTCGGAGATTACCAGCCTTCCTGATTTTTGTGTCACTCTGTTTAAGCTGCAGTTGGCTTCCAGAACTTTGCCAAAACAAAATCCCCCAGAAAAACATTTTCCACATTTTGTAATTTATTTAAAGTTTGACTAAGGCAATTTCCTCCCCAATATATATAGCATGTTCTAGCATTACACAGCTATTAATGGCTCTTATATTGGCACAATGTTATTTTGACCCTAGATGCTTATTTTGTTATGGAAATAAAACTTTCAAAATGTAAGTTTAGATTGGCTGTTTAATCATTTCTGGCAACAAGGTGGAATAGCCATTCAGCAAATAAGTAACCCATGCTTCCATGTGTTTGATTATTCTTGTATATTGTTCATTTTGCACAAATATAGGCAGTAAATATCAGTATCTAGCAATATATATATATATATAGAGAGAGAGAGAGAGAGAGAGAGAGAGAGAGCGCGCGAGCACACGCACGCGCGAGCACGCAAGCAAGCAAGCAAGCAAGCACACAATTAACTACAAAGCATACACAAAGTGTTATTTTTTAACAGTAAGTTTCTAGTCCCCATGTTTTGGGTGAAGATATATTCTTTTTTAAAGCTGTGAGTGTGTGTATGTGGTGGTGGTGGTGGTGGGTGGCATTATCATGACTGAAATATTCTGCTTTAAAGACTTTCAAGTTTATTTAGCCGTTTTCTAACAAAAGCTGTAGAATATTCAGCAATATTTTACTTATTTATTTATATTTATATATCAAATTTGTCACCACCCATCTCATTAAAAAGCGACTCTGGGCAGTTTACAGAAGAGATAAAATCCATTAAAATACAATAATAAAACAAT